AAAAAAAAAAAAGTTACTGCTGCCAGTGACCACATGCATGATTATTTACCGTGTTGCATCCAGAGAGCCTGGCAGATACTAAAATAGGCCCTGCATAATCACTTAAAGGAATGAATAACTCACAAAGCTGCTGTGAGGCTTTCCAGAGTTAATGACATCAAGCACTTGGTGAAGGCTGTAAAACCCCAATCACCCATTAAAGTTGGGTCTAAATGAAATAAAGGTCTTACATCATTTTAATGGAATGTTGATGAGCAGTTAAGAGGAAAACATTGTTAAAAAATGAAATATATCAACATGAATGGAACCCCAAAACATTACTGAAAAATTCATATTCCAGAATAACATTATCAGAAAAGAAAAAAAATGAGGGAAACGGGAAAAAGGTTAATACCACCTCCCTGCACATCTTTTTTGTAACTGCTTATATAGCTATAATTATTTCAAAATAAAAGTTGTTTTGTTTTTGAGACAGTCTCAAGCTGTCACCCTGGTGTCGCAGCTCACAGCAACCTCCAGTTCTTGGGCTTAGGCGATTCTCTTGCCTCAGCCTCCCGTGTAGCTGGGACTACAGGCTCCTTGCCACAACGCCCGGTTATTTTTTGTTGTAGTTGCCACTGCTGTTTTAGCTGGCGGGGCCAGGTTTAAACCCGCCGGTGCCTTACCCACTGAGCCACAGGCGCTGCCCCATATTTAATTTTTTTTTTTTTACATTTTAGAGACAGAGTCTCACTTTATCATACTCACACAGCTCACAGCAACCTCAAACTCCTGGGCTTAAGCAATTCTCTTGCCTCAGCCTCCCAGGTAGCTGGGACTACAGGCGCCCGCCACAACACTCTGCTATTTTTGTTGTTGTTGCAATTATCATTGTTGCTCCAGCTGGCCTGGGCTGGGTTTGAACCCACCTGCCTCTGTGTATGTGGCCTGTGCCCTACCCACTGAGCCACAGGTGCTGCCAAGCAGGTTGGATTTCTGCCAGTTATACTGCTGTCCACAGAGGAAAACTCTGTGGCTGTGTATTGTTGTTTTTCAGTTTTGTTTAAGCACGGCAGGCACATACGTCTGCAGATGTGAACTAAATACACACGTACATGTATGTTTCCAATTCTCTTCCTAGATTTTGGCCCTGATTGCGTTCATCTGCATAGAGACCATCATGGAGTGCTCCCCGTGTGAAGGCCTCTACTTTTTTGAGTTTGTAAGCTGCAGTGCACTCGTGGTGACTGGAGTCTTGCTGATTATGTTCAGTCTCAACCTTCATGTGAGGATCCCCCAGATCAACTGGAACTTGACAGTGAGTACAAGTCACGACTCTGTGACAGTGAAAGCATCGCGTGCTGGCTGGCTCTGAGGAAGAGCTGGAGTCTCTCCCTGGAGTGTCTGATTCTAGTTCGTTTTGAAGCTTACATACTCCTTTATAACTCAGCTATGGGATTTTAAATTTCTATACTGGGTTGCATAAAAGTACAAAGTAAATTAAATATTAACCAATGATAGAAACATCATAACAAAATTATTTTGGCCCTTTTAAAGATGTCATTTCAATTTTATGATCATCTGAGAAGACTGGTAATGTTGCTATTTGCAGAATATGGGGAAGGAAAACACGATGAAGACATTTACATATTTTTCACACCGGACACAAGCCATTTGCAAAAGTATTGATTCTGAAAGAATTGAAAATATGAATGAAAATGCCCATAATTTGCAAAGCCTAGGAGTATTATTCAAAGCAACCGGGAGGACCCCGAGGGCTTGGTGGTTTGACTAGAAAGTCTCGAGTGAAAGTGTGTTCTTTTCTCCCTGTGGTTTGGCTTGTTAGGCTTGTTCGGATGCCCTTATGATTCACCACAGGACACTCAGGGGCGGCCAGTCCCACACCTCCTTTCCTGGACTACATTACTTGTCCTTACTTAGCCGAATGAGAAAGGAGTTTTAATATTGTTTGATCTTCTTGGTATTTCTTTGCAAATAAGCATATGCAAGAGCTCAAAGGGAATCAGACAGGGAGACACACAAGCACAATCAGTACCGATATTTGCTGCAACATGAATAAACCTTAGACCATTGTACTAAATGAGAGAAGCCAGGCGCAGCAGACCACACAGTCTATAGTTCTATTTATATGAAATGTCCAGAATAGGCGCATCAATAGAGGCAGGCAGCAGATTGGTGGCTGCCAAGTGCTGGGGGACGAGTGAGGAATAACTGCTAATGAGTATGAGGGGTTTTTTGGAGTGCTGAAAATGTTCGAAAATTACATTGTGATTAAACTGTACATTTTAATCGAGTCTATTTTATAGTATGTGAGTTATAGCTCAGTAAAGCTGTTTAAAAATACATGATACAACCCACCCAATAACCATTTATACTTCTTGGGTATAAATTCTTCTAGACTGTTTTTCATATATGCACGTCACGTTGTGTGGGCAGAGAAAAAGGGCCTATTAAAGTCATTCTTTTTGTTTTAATTTATCAAGAGTATCTTCCATGTTAAATAATCAGCTGTGTCATTATTTTTAATCACTGTATAGTGTTCCGTTATGGAACTACCATTTTTTTTTTTTTTTTTTAGACAGAGCCTCAAGCTGTCCCCCTGGGTAGAGTGCCATGGCATCACGCTCACAGCAACCTCCAACTCCTGGGCTCAAGCGAGTCTCCTGCCTCCACCTCCCAAGTAGCTGGGACCACAGGTGCCCGCCACAACGCCCGGCTATTTTTTGGTTGCAGCTGTCATTGTTGTTTGGCGGGTCTGGGCTGGGGATTCGAACCCGCCACCTTAGGTGTACGTGGCTGGCGCCTTAGCTGGTTGAGCTATAGGCGCCGAGTCAGGAACTACCATTTTGTTTAACAAATCCCTTATTTATTTATTTACTTATTTCTTGAGACAGAGTCCCACTTTGCTACCCTTGGTAGGGTGCCATGGCGTCATAGCTCACAGCAACCTCAAACTTCTGGGCTTAAGCAATTCTCTTGCCTCAGCCTCCCAAGTAGCTAGGACTATAGGTACCTGCCACAATCCCTGGCTATTTTTAGAGACGAAGTCTTGCTCTGGCTCAGGCTGGTCTCAACTCTGTGAGCTCAGGCAATCCACCTGCCTCAGCCTTCCAGAATGCTGGGATTACAGGCATGAACCACTGTACCCGGCCACAAATCCCTTATTTAACATTTTATTTGTTTCTACTTTTTTTGCTCTTTTAAATAATGTCCAAAAGAACATCCTTTCTACTTAGACTTTTTTGACCTAACATATTTAAGATGAATTTCCAAGTGTGGAATTCATAGGTAAATGAGATGAACCTCTTTGAAACTTTTGATACCTCTTGGCAAATGATTTTCTAGAAAGTTGTGACCTTTAAGCCCTACTTGTTGGTTTTCTCACGCTTTCAAACACACACTTTTACCGTAGGTATACAGTCTTTGCCAGTCTCACAGATGAATGGCAGTATGTGATTGACAACTTAATTTCCATTTCTTTGGTTACACGTAAATTTGGACATTTATTTCTTGCTTATTGGCTACTTATAATTTTTTTTTTTTTTTTGAGACAGAGTCTCACTCAAGTTGTCCTGGGTAGAAGCTGTGGCATCAGAGCTCACAGCAACCTCAAATTCTTAGGTTTGAACAATCCTCTTGCTTCAGGCTCCTGAGTAATTGGGACTACAGGTGCTCACCACAACACCTGGCTAGTTTTTCTGTTTTTAGTAGAGAGGGGGTCTTGCTCTTGCTTAGGCTGGTGTTGAACTCAAGCAATCCACCTGCCTTGGCTATACTTCTTTTCAAATTGCATATTTGTGTCCTCCCCTCACTTTGTTACTTTTTCTGATAAATAAGAAAATGTTATTTATAAATTAAGGATATTGACCATTTTATCAAATGGTTATTTATGGTTTAATATTTGTCAAGATTTTATTTGATGTTTTCTGCCTTTGGTGTAATGCTTAGAAAGTTCTTTCTGAGTAGGGTAATTCAACACTTCTGGTATATGGGGCCGGCGCCCTACTCACTGAGCCACAGGCGCCTGTGGCTCAAAGGAGTAGCGTCGGCCCCATATACCGGAGGTGGCGGGTTCAAACCCAGCCCAGCCAAAAACTGCAAAAAAAAAAAAAAAAAAAGGCATTAATTGTGTGGGGTTTTTTGTTTTGTGAGACAGAGTCTCAAGCTGTTGCCCTGGGTGGAGTGCTGTGGCATCACTGCTCACAGCAACCTCAAACTCTTGGGCTTAAGTAATCCTCTTGTCTCAGCCTCCCAAGTAGCTGGGACTTCAGGCCTGGGCTGGATTCCAACCTGCCAGCTCCCATGTATGTGGCTGGCACCTTAGCCGCTTAAGCTATAGGCGCTAAGCCTAGCACTGTTTTTTAAATAGCACTATACCATTGTCATGCCCAATAGAATTAGCAACTCTTTAATGTTATTTAATCTCCAGTTCATTTTCAGATTACTCCCATGTCTCAAATGTCTTCTTACATTTGTTTTGTTCAAATCTTCATCCAAACGTGGTCCCCTACTGCTTCATGGT